TTAAAGGTAAAGGTTATAAGCATGTTAAAGGTAAAGGTTATAAGCATGTTAAAGGTTAGGGTTAGGGTTAGGGTCTTGTGACTACAGCTGCACAGATTATTCAGAAATTTAAGAACCATGGGACTGTAGCCAACCTCCCTGGGCGTGGCCTCAGGAGGAAAACTGATGACAAATCAATGAGACGATTGTACGGATGGTCTCAGTTTCAGTCGCAGCTCATGGGTCTTCAACAGGATAATGAGCCATAACAGCTAAAAACAGCAAGAATGGCTGAGAGGAAAACACTGGACTGTTCTGAAGTGGTCTCTATGATCCTGACCTGAATCCTGTTGAGCCTCTTTGGAAGGAGCTGAAACATGAACCCTGAGACACCTGGAGCAGTTTGTTCCTGAGGAGTGGAACACCATCCCTGCTGAGCTGCAGACGTCTGACTGACAGTTACAGGAACCGTTAACTGACTGACTCTAAGGTTGGGACACAAAATATTAAGTTTCCATCATTTCTGTCCAGGTTTGTTTCAGGAGTTTAGTTTTTAAATAAGTTCTGGTGAATCATGGCTGAAAATCAACGTCTGACTTTTGTTCATTTTTATAGAATTTTTATTTATTATTACTTTTGTCAGATTCTAGTTATTTCTGTGACCATTGTGGGGTTTTTCTTTTAACCATTTAAATGGGGAGTACCAACATGTTGTCCACATGTGTAACTAAACAAAGTGAAACAAACACAACAGATGGAGACTTGTGCACTCTCCCTGTCCCGCTGCACAATGAACCAGTCTTCAGTGAACTCCTTCAGCTTCAGACGATCTAAAAGTGACTTTTCCAACACAAACTCTTTTTATTTCTGTGTTTAGCTGCTGAGTCTTCATCGCAGCCTTTATTTGCCCCCGCTGAAGATTTGATGACTAATAGAAAGAGCCAGCCTTAGTGGCGATGACAAATCCCCACACTCAGACACTTTTACAGCCTCTAAAGAGCCCCTTGACAAACGGCAGGGCTGCAAAGCCAATATTCTAATGCTGTGTGTTATTGTAATGTTTCACTAACACACTTTTTATAGTTTGGGTGCTGGAATGGCATTCAGTCTGCTCAGCCAATCATTGATTCTTTACAGATGGACCAATCATATCCTAGCTACTCAGGAGTACACACTCTGAAGCTCGAACGCTGAACCAGAAGCTCAAAACTGGTTTATTTATTTATTTATTTATTTATTTATTTATTTATTTATTTATTTGTTTCCAACACACTTTTTATAGTTTGGGTGCTGGAATGGCAT